TATCCCCACCTCCCTGGTTTCCTGTAGGTAACTGGTTAACTGCCTTCACACAGCAGGGACCAGACCAGACTCTGCAACCCTGAAGATATGAGCTTCAGACCCCTTTAGAGACGGTGTCTCGCCATACCAAGAGTTCTCTTTGAATGTGTCAGTCAGTCGAGCCCTCATATAAAACAAGGCCTGTTTTTGACCTAAAACCTAATTATTGAGCCAATAAAAATTGAGGAATTAATTAGAAACGAGTCGGAAAGCAACTCTGTTGCTGGGTTTGTTCGTTTTCTCTACCTGTTACAGTGCAAGGTTGCTGGGCTGGTTTCTGCCTGGAGCAGGGCAGGCTGAACACACAAAAACACAATCAAAGCTCAGATTGTGTTTAAGGACATTCTCGTGAATGATGTTTAAATCATCTTGATGTGATTTTGTTGAAGAAAGTGATAATTATCGTCATCCTTATCCTTATTCTAGACAGATCTCTGCTGTGCTCAAGAGGGTCAGGTTCTAGAATTGGTTAGTTTCATCGGTCTCCGAGCCATCCTGTCTAACAGCTCTTGCACTTCCAGACTTACATCAACTTACTAAACTAAGGAGTTCCAGAGAGTCGTGTTGACTATTTTTCTGAATGTTTCTCTTGCAAATTTTACACAAAAAATGCGAGAGTGATTTACTATTCCAAAAAATTTGGTAACTATTTTTCTAACATTGTTCACAATGTGTTTCTACCTGTCATAGTCAGAGAGATGCTGGCCTGAAAAGTGTGTGTTTTGTCTCTACGAGTGTATGAATAACATGACAGGTTGATATCTGACCAAGGCAAGGAGAGACACAGTTATTAAAGTATCTTAATCTCTATTAGATTTAATAGCATTCACAGAGCCAAACACTGAGGTCACTGTTGACTTTTAAACAACAGAGCCAAGTTCACATCCAGCAGTTGGAGATTCCAGTTTGGCTCAGACACACACACGCACACACACACGCACACGTACACACACACACACACACACACACACACACACACACACACACACACACACACACACACACACACACACACACACACACACACACACACACACACAGAATGCAGAATATAAGCAGGGCGGCAGATTGAGACAGAATGTTATGAGTCTGTGACAGTGTGTGTCCTGTCACTGTGACCTGATTGGTCATGCACCCTGGCTACTTGGTCAAAGAAGATCTCCTTTTAGCTGACTGGTTAGAGCACGTGAGTCTCACCCGGGAGTCTGGGGATCGGACCATTTTTTTACATCAGCCACAGATCTCTCTGAAGAACTCAGCATTGACGGCTTCAGCAAGGCTGTGGCACTCCGTGGATTTTCTCTTATTTGTTTTGCAAAAGCATTTGCTTTCATTTCTCCACCTCACCCACAAGTACCTCAATTCCTGCTTCGGTGAAATAGCGCTTCCTTGATCTACGGTCACCATTGTTAATGGTGGAGCGCTGCAATGAGCCAAATTACTGTATGTATATGCATGAGATCCACAAGGCACTTTGCATTGACCATTTATGGCAGAAAGTGGGCATGTTGAGGGCGGGATGTGATCAAAAACAGCTGAGAACCTTTCTAGATAGTTTCTGATTTATAAAGCGGAGATTGCGTGCAGCTGTGCATACTCCATGTTTCATAGATCACAAACCTACTTGGCATAAGTACATTTTTTTTGCTGAGCTTAAGTACGGTTTTAGTAAGGATTCTACACAATGTTTTATAAATGAGACCCTAGAACATTGCTTTGATTTGCTTTGTTCGTTTTGATCATTAGATCGAAATCATGAATAAAAAGCAAAGTTTTTCATGGTGCTCTGGGTGAGACCTAAGCAGCATGCATTACAGGAGGTATTCCTGCTGCATCTTCAACATTAGGAGCTTAGAAACAGTTATTTTAAAGTAGCATCAATGTGGCTGAAATGGCCTAACTGATCATTTTTGGTTGGCCTGGTGAAACAGAGATACATACAGTACTTACCATGGAGGTGTGGTATAGTTGCCTGGAAATTCTGATAGTGGAAATGGGACTATTGTTTCTGAATTGGGAACACCATGAAGTTCCCCAGGAGGAACTGAATGGTTGCTTGGGAGAAGGATTTCTGGATTCCACTCCAGGGTTTGTTACAGACATAAATCAAATAGAAATGCTGTAGCAAGCCTTTTGCTGTTAAAAACAATTCTATAATGTATTCGTTCTTGGAGTTCAGTGAATTTTTTTCAGTCAATGCTTCAGATTCAATTCAATTCTTTATTCAGGACAATGCACATTAATAAACAATCAAATACATTGTATCGATCGTAAATGGGCCAGATTATAGCATAGTTGCTAATTTGCATCTGTAGTCCGTCAACAAGATAACTAAGTAAAACAAGTAACACTATACATTTTAAAAACAGTCAGACAGAAACATTCCATTAAAATAGACAAAAAAAAATAGGAATAACAAAAGATGCAAACATGACTGGGAACCGTCAAGATGTAGTTCGAGGTGCTTTTTAAAGGTGCTATAAGTGGGAAACTCTGATATTCGCTTGGATGTTGTTTCAAAATTGACCCCCTAATGGACAATACCATTAGTCCGAACGTCGTTTTCCTGTAGGGGATCTGAAGGTCTCCTCTAGTGGAGGCTCTAGTACCATAGCCTTTGTCTGGTCTTAATTTTATGTATGCGGAAAGTGGAGGTGGAGCTAGTCCATTAAGTGCTCTGTAGATTAAACAACTATTTTTGAACTTAATAAAATGAATTTTGCAACTCATTTATCCAACGTTCTTGAAGACTCTGCAAGGTCCAGATGTTTTTATGATCATCTATTGTGTTTCATCCTTTCAGTGACATGTATTATTTGTCTTTATTATTATTATTATTATTATTATTATTATTATTATTATTATTATTATTATTATTATTATTACAACAACAACAACAACAACAACAATAATAATAATAATAATAATAATAATAATAATAATAATAATAGATTTCATTTTTATAATGTTTTTCTAGACACTCAAAACTTTGCATTATTCACACACTGGTGATGGTGAGCTACTATGTAGCTTCGGTCGCCCTGGGTTGGTCTGACAGAGGCGAGGCTGCAGTTTAGCACCATCGGCCCACCCGACCACCACCACAACACAAGCAGGTCAGGTGAAGTGTGTTACCCAAGGACACGACGGTGGAGTACCCTGGCGGGAACTGGGTTTAATCCCACAATCCTCCCATCACTGGTCAACCCGCTCTACCTCTTGAGCTACTGCTCCCCCAATGTGACTGTAACATAGGAAGGCCAGTTAATAAACAGCCAGTGGAACAAACTAAAGGAAATACTCCCTTTTAGACAAATATGCTATGAATGCAGTACAGGAATTATTCTTTTTGGAAATAAGGTTTGACAATCTGCCATTCTGGGGCTGTGCAGTGGCGCAGTGGTTAGAGCTGTTGCCTTGCAGCAAGAAGGTCCTGGGTTCGCTTCCCGGCCTGGGATCCTTCTGCATGGAGTTTGCATGTTCTTGCTGTGCATGCTTGGGTTCTTTCCTGGTACTCCAGCTTCCTCCAACAGTCCAAAAACATGCCTTTTAGGTTAATTGGTCTGTCTAAATTGCCCTTAGGTGTGTGTGCGCGTGATTGTCTGTCCTGTGTGTCCCTGTGTTGCCCTGCAATGGACTGGCTCTCTGTCCAGGGTGTACCCCGCCTGATTGCCCATTGACCACTGGAGATAGGCACCCCCCCCCCCCCCCCCCCCCCCCCCCGCGGGCCCAGGGGCCACCACCACGACAGGCACCGACGATCCTGCGACCACAGCTCGGGTCGGCTGCCTCAACAATGGAGGCACGGAACAGGGTCCATTCACACTCAATGTACCCCGCCTCCCCCAGAACATTTTGGAAGTTCTGTCGGAGGTGGGAATTGAAGCTCCTTCTGACAGGAGACTCTGCCAGACCCTCGTGATACGTTTGGGCCTGCCTGGTCTGACCAGCATCCTTCCCCACCATCTGAGACAATTCACCACCAGGTGGTGGTCAGTTGACAGCTCCGCCCCTCTCTTCACCCGAGTGTCCAAGACATGCAGCCGCAGGTCAGATGAAACAACAACAAAGTCGATCATCGAGCTGCAGCCTAAGGTATCCTGGTGCCAAAAGCACAGATGGACATCTTTATGTCTGAACATGGTGTTCATTATGGACAATCCATGACTGGCACAGAAGTCCAAAACAAAACACCACTCGAATTCAGATCAGGGGAGCGTTCCTCCCAACCACACCTCTCCAGGTCTTACTGTCGTTGCCCACGTGAGCATTAAAGTCCCCCAGCAGAACGAGGGAGTCACTGGAAGGAGTGCTCTCCAGCACCCCCTCCAAGGTCTCCAAAAAGGGTGGGTAGTCTGAACTGTAGTTTGGTGCATAAGCACAGACCACAGTCAGAACCCATCATCCCACACATAGGCAGAGGGAGGCTACCCTCTCATTCACTGGGGTAAACCCCAACGTACAGGCACCAAGATGGGGGGCAACTAGTATGCCCACCCCTGTTCGGCACCTCTCAGTGGGAGCAACTCCAGAATGGTAGAAAGTCCAACCCATCTCAAGGAAACTGGTCCCAGAGCCACTACATTCATAGCAGTTAATCTCCGCCTCCTTTTGTTTTTACCCATAAATGGGTGGAGTTTGGCACGATCATAGCCAATCAGTGGCTTTCAGTTGGACTTCATTATGACCATTAGATGTCAGTAGATGTTAAACAGAGGATATTTATTAAAACACCTTTTTATCTTCAAAGTTTAAAAAATATGAAAATGAGAAGTTGAATGCAGTCATGTTAAATTTATAAGTGAGCTTTTCTATCAGATGCTATAATTTTAATACATTTAGTCTATGTTACCTAATACTGCTGCCCAGTGGCAGCTGTTTGCTCCCTTAATCCTTGCAGGCAGTTTGTGGGAGAGACGTTTGAAAGGGGAGAGATGGGAGGAGGGAGAGGGAGAGGGGGAGACCAGGAGGAGGGAGGGATCAGAAGGATCCGGAGGAAAAGGTTTGAGAGGGAGGAAGCAGCAGTGGCCGATTCGGGGAGAAAGACGGAGTAAAGGGAGCCAAAACCTTAAACTTCTTCACCTTTGGATATTTAACTGCTGCAGAGGAGCCGCTGGGCAGCGCGTCTGCTCCTGATTGCGTTGTGGTGTGGATTAGATGAACGTGACTTCGTGATGAGGAGCGAGCCCGTTTTGTTCGCTTCCAGCAGGGGTGAGTGGCTCATCCGGGGCTTTTCTTCTCATGGCCAGAGAATCAAACCTCCACCAGGAACTCTTCTAACCTCTTAAAGGTTGTAAGTGGTCCGGATGGTACCTGTTTTACACTTGACTGTTGAATTTATCACCCTGAACAAGCGCTGTTGCACTTTTTTTAATGAGCGCGCGCCCTCCTGCTCCAACGCACGCGCACACGTTGAAAGGAGCCCCTAGGGTTGTAGGTATGAAAGTTAGAGAGGAAGGTTGGTGGTGGGAATGCTGGAGTGTTTAAGGTGGGAATGCTGCTTTACATTTATTACAAGCACCTTTTCTTCCCATCATAGAGGAGAATCTTTTTGGCTGAAATGTCATAACTGCTCCTGATGTAACTAGACGAATATTTAATTGCCAAATGCGTAAAACGCCCCCAGAACAATTATACACAAATATTGCCCCAAAACAACAAAACAAAAACATGTCAGACACAATAAGTAACACCTGGTGCAGGTCAGATGTTTAGAATGGAAATGGTTTGGAGCAAGACGCTGCATTAGTGGTGGCTAGCTTTGGTTTGACGACTTCTGTATTGTCTGCCAGATGGAAGCAGCTCTGCAAGGCTGTTGATCTAAACCTATCACTGCTTTTGTGGAAAGCCTTGCTAAAACTACACTGGACCATTTTATATTCTGAATAACTCTAATTATTGGTGCCTTTGATGCCAAAAGGTCCTGTAAACCTTTCTCAGAGGTTCTGGCCCATGCTGACATGACAATAAAACACAGCTTCATTCATTATGTGAATCTCCTGTTCCACCAAATCCAAAAGGCACTGGACTGGACTAGGGTCTGGTGACTGTAGCCAATTGGAGTCCAGTGTCATTGTCATGTTTAAGAAACCAGTTGGGGATGATGTGAGCTTTTTGACAGTGCATTATTCTGCAGGATGTAGCCATCAGAAGATGGGTCCACTGCGGTCATAAAGGGATGGACTTGGTTGGCAACAATACTTGAGTAGGTGTGGTTCAGGTGATCTGACTTCAGCCGACTTGTTCACCAAAAACTAGCTACATTGTTGAGATGACCGTGAGTTGCCATAGTGACACATCCAGTGACTCCATCCTCTTTGCCAATCAGTGACCAACAGCTAGTTTACGTCAGATTTTCAGCACAGTTCAGCACTCTAGGAACCTCACTAAAACAGGTCCTGAAAAGTTGGATTAAAATACTGACCCGTGGTGTTGGTAAAGGCCGTCAAACTGAATCGAACCATTCAGAGTTGCACTGAGTAATGATGTTGGAAAAGACCCATCTGGGGTCCTAACTGGGCCATGAACATCTCCCCCACATCATTACACTTCCAGCAGCAGCCTGAACCAGTTACTCAAGGCAGAATGGATCCATTCTATAAATGCTGTTGCCTCCAAATTCTGACCCGACCATCTGAATCCAGACTCATCAGACCAGGAAACATTTTCCAGATTCCTATTGTCCAGATCTGGTGATCCTGTGTGAGTTGTATCTTCAGGTTCCGGTTCTTAGCTGACAGGAGAGACGCTTGGTGTGGTCCTCTGCTGCTGAAGTCCACCTGGAGCAGCCGTTGGGCTTCAGAGATGCTGTTCTGAAGATTTTTTTTTTGCAATCAGTCATTGGAAAGACAACAGCAGCTTAGCTATCGTCTTGACTCTAGACCCAGCCTGAACATTCTGTCAAACCTATAAATGGTTTTGGGGGCAAAACATAAGTGTCACCAGAATAATCTCCAAATTTGACTGAATAAACCAAAAATAATTAAAACAAAATCACAAATTGCAGTCATTATTCTATGCTGTCTGTCTGGATGGCTGGTTTACTGGTCTCAGCAGTAATTTGAGGGTGTAGATTTATTGTCAAAAGAGCAAATGAGGGATGGAGTCACTACAAAGTTAGAATGGTCTGAAATCACTAAATATTTTTTATTTATGGAAGAAAAAAGAATCAAATACACAATTTTGTTGAATCCCTGATCTTGCTCAAGGAAGTAAGCTCATCCTTTTTTACCCAGTAATCTAAACTATCTGGATGACTCTGTCCTCGTCTGACCTAGACCTTGTAGACTTTCTGCCAGGAGCAGAATAAAAGTAGTTCAGTTGTAGCCTTTGTGAACAGTTGATCTCTATCAGGTTTATTCTGGTGAAGGTCCATCCACTCTGACTATTAAAACAATAGAGTTTTTTTTGAAGCAATGGCCTGTTTGACAGTGGTTGACCATCCAGGGGATGTCAGGTTATGTCCACAGTTCAGTCTCCGGTTACCCAACACAAGCTTGGAATGATGTGACAGCTGTCCGTCATCTGCATTTTAGTTTCCGCCCATGGCCGTTAAGAGAGGTTCTATAATAACAGAACCAGTGTTGGCAGCTGCAGGGTGTCGAGTGACCCAGCATTTGGTCAGGGGCACTTGCAGACCTCCTTTGTGCAGTGTTTTTGCAGTCCTAGCTCAGTGTCATATGAGCATGTGTTGGATAGTGTTTTGGGTTTG